AACTTTTACAAAAGGTCAAAGCGGTGCCTTTCAAGGCTTCCAAACCCTACAGGCTTCTCCTCGATTCAAAGTAACTCGCTTTCACCCACAGAACGTTCCAGAGACCTAGGGACGGGGCCCGGGCAGAATTTGGTGGAGGTTGCTCAAAGAACTTTTTCAATTTTCTTTTCAAAACACTTACCGCATTTCACCTTCCTCCATTCGTGGCCCCACATGTTGCTCGCCTCCCTCCCAGAGGGCCCCGCGAGGCCGCGCTCGGCCCCCGGAACGCGCCCACCTGATTACCCTCTCCTCTCAGACTCCGCCCCCCAACCCCCCAATGCCGTCTCCTTTAGGAGGTCCATATGGGACACTTTACCCCTCCTCTGAACCTCACGCCACACCAGACCAGCCCTCCGTTCTTCTCCTTCAATTCTTCTCCATTACGGGCATCACCTCCCATAGCTTCCTAGAGTGTTGTGAGCGCGCAGAGGGAAGCTGCAGGCCTGCTCGGCCCAGGTGCTGTGTCAGCCTATCTGCCGGTTCCGCGGCGTGTACGGCCCGGAAAGTCACATGGCGGTGGGACCGGCCGGCGCCTCTACACTCCTGCTCTCCTAAGAGCAGGACGAGACTAGCAAATCCACTCACCTCCACGAAAAGCAACATGTCGTCCTCTGCTCGGCCCAATCGTTCCCGCCGCCGCAACTCCAACTGGCTCACAGGCCCGCGCCCCAATTGCTAGGATAAGGACACACACTCGCCTTGCCCCTCCACCCGGCAGTGGACCCGGCTCCTCCCCCGCCGTCAGCCGCTGCGGCCTGACCCGCCCAGTCCCACCTCCCTTGAAACAACAACTGCTTCCGGGTCTAGGGAAAAATTGTTTCCGGCAGAAAAGAGAGTCGTCGACGCGCTCAACTTTTGCACCATCTTTTCTAGCAACAGTGTGGGATGTACTATCATCTGTCGCGGGGGGGACGATTAGCAGGAGATGCCATTCTGGGGATGTGTAAAAATCTTAATGACACATTTTATCACTTGTCAGATAGCTACACAGCACTGATAATTCCGCAGTTTTCATAGTTCACAATGTAGATTTGATTTTTAAAGCCGACCTTGGCGACGTGTGCTGAACAAACGTCCAACCCTGCCGAAAAGTGGTGGCTCACAGAAGAAAAGTAGACAAGAAAAAAAAAAAAAAAAGCCATAAAAAGCTATGATAGTAGTAAATACGTTAATAGCAGGTACTGTATATTAAATGCTTACATTGTGCTTGGCACTATACTGAGCATTTTATGTTAATTGATCTTAAAACAATTCTATGCAATAAATAATATTATTATCATCCCCATTTTACAGTTGAAGGAGCCCTCTAGGAGGTTGGGTTTCGCTTTGACACACCTTTAAAGAACTTTGCCCTGGGCTCATTTGAATTAGTTACCCGTATCTCCACTTAATATACGAGTAACAACGCTTAATCTGTATAGTCTCTTCTTTGATATTCTGCCATTAATTCAAACGAAATACAATAAAAACAAATTTTTTAAATTATCTATAATATTTGTTAGATGGTCCAAATTCCTTATCTTTAGCAATATGTCCCTCCCTTACCACTCCCACTTCTACCTCCTAGTTCAAACACTCATCTTTTGAAATAATCATGTATTGGCTGGGAGGGGTGGCTCACACCTACAATCCCAGCACTTTGGAAGGCTGAGGCGGACGGATCACTTAAGGTCAGGAGTTCAAGACCAGCCTGGCCAACATGGTAAAACCCCGTCTCTACTAAAAATACAAAAATTAGCCGGGTGTGATGGTGCACACCTGTAATCCCGGCTACTCCGGAGGCTGAGGCAGAATTGCTTGAACCCAGGAGGCAGAGATAACAGTGAACCGACATTGTGCCACTGCACTCCAGCCTGGGCAACTGAGTGAGACTCTGTCTCGAAAATAATAATCATAATGGTAATGAATAAAAATTGGCCGGGCGCCGTGGCTCATGCCTGTAATCCTAGCACGTTGGGAGGCCGAGGCGGGTGGATTGCCTTAGGTCAGGAGTTTGAGACCAGCCTGGGCAACACGGTGAAACCCCATCTCTAGTAAAATACAAAAAATCAGCCAGGCATGGCAGTGTGTGCCTGTAGTCCCAGCTACGTGGGAGGCTGAAGCAGGAGAATTGCTAGAACCCAGGAGGCAGAGGTTACAGTGAGCCAAGATCACGGCACTGCACTCAAGCCTGGGTGACAGAGTGCGACTCTGTCTCTAAAAAATAATAATAATAAATAAATATGAAATAATCATGTCTTGATCTTTTCCAATGGATTTTTCCTTTATATTATTTTAAAAATCTTCCTAAAGTAAAGGTCTCATTTTCACCAAACCACTGTTAACTTGATTTCAAGACTTTGCCATTCTGATCTCATGAAATCTTCCTTGCTTTGCCGCAAATGGAATCTCCTCAGATAACACATTAATTCCACCACCAAATTGCTGATAGCTGTTATCTCAGACCCACCCTAATCTGGTTCTCGGTAAACTCCTGTTAGGTTATCTCAGTGATTAAACCAATCTCCTTACTTTCCCCCTGAGATGCAAACTCATTAGCACTCACCTCCAAAGCCATGGCTCAAGGTGTAGTCCCTATCTGGATTGCCTCCATTTGTCAATCAATCTCTCTCCATAAAGTTTTCTCAAAGACTCTGCTCCTATAGATCTCTTCCTCGTGTCTCTTATTAGCACTTGATTATTATATTCTATCTTAAATCTTTGCTTTTTCTTTTTTGTTTTAGTTTCTTTACAGGAACCCTATCATATATTCTTCAGTGTAGGATAATGTAAGCAGCATAGTGTTTCAACAAATGCTTGTCGAATAGAAAGGGAAGCAGGATTTAAAAATTGACTTTAAGAAGCCTTCATGGTCGGGTGTGGTGGCTCATGCCTGTAATCCCAGCACTTTGGGAGGCTGAAGAGGGTAGATCACGAGGTCAGGAGATCAAGACGAGCCTGGCTAACACGGTGAAACCCCGTCTCTACTAAAAATACAAAAAATTAGCCGGGCGCCTGTAATCCCAGATACGCGGGAGGCTGAGGCAGGAGAATGGCGTGAACCAGGGAAGCAGAGCTTGTAGTGAGCCTTGATCGTGATACTGCACTCCAGCCTGGGCAACAGAGTGAGATGCTGTCTCAAAGAAAAGCCTTCATGTCTAGTTGCTGATTGATGAATTCCATGCTGCGTAAAAGATGCAAGTGAGAGAGAAAGCAATAATGCAAAATTAGTTTAGCTGACAACTAAACTTTGGGAGGCTGAGGTGAGTGGATCACTTGAGGAGTTTGAGACCAGCCTGGCCAACACAGTGAAACCCCATCTCTACCAAAAATATAAAAAATTAGCCAGGTATAGGCTGGGCACAGTGGCTCACGCCTGTAATCCCAGCACTTTGGGAGGCCGAGGCGGGCGGATCACAAGGTCAGGAATCGAGACCATCCTGACTAACACGGTGAAACCCCATCTCTACTAAAAAACACAAAAAAAATTAGCCGAGCATAGTGGTGGGCACCTGTAGTCCCAGCTACTCTGGAGGCTGAGGCAGGAGAATGGCGTGAACCCAGGAGGCAGAGCTTGCAGTGAGCTGAGATTGCGCCACTGCACTCCAGCCTGGGCCACAGGTGAGACTCCATCTCACATTAAAAAAAAAAAAAAATTAGCCAGATGTAGTGGCGCACGCCTGTAATCCCAGCTACACAGAAGGCTGAGGTAGGAGAATCACTTGAACCTGGGAGGCAGAGGTTGCAGTGAACTGAGATCGCGCTGCTACACTCCAGGCTGGACAATAGAGTGAGACTCTGTCAGAAAGAAAGAAAGGAAGAAAGGAAGAAAGGAAGAAAGGAAGAAAGGAAGGAAGGAAGGAAGGAAGGAAGGAAGGAAGGAAGGAAGGAAGGATATATATACACACTTGTAGTAAAACTATGTAAAAGTAGACTCAAATATGTAAAATTCATGATTGTCATTTCATGTGGAATGGGACAGTGGGGAAGGAAGGAACCGGGGGTTGGGAGACATCAAAGAGGACTTCGACCTTCTCTAATGCTTTTTTTAATTTAAAAAATATCTAAAGCAAATATTAAACAAAAATTAGCCAGGTGTGGTGGCGCGTGCCTGTAATTCCAGCTGAGGAATCTGAGAATCTGGGAGGCTGAGGCACAAGAATCTCTTGAACCTGGGAGGCAGAGGTTGCAGTGAACCGAGATCATGACACTGTACTCCAGCCTGGGTAATAAAGTGAGACTCTGTCTCGAAAAAAAAAAAGAAAAGTATAAAGAGTAAGCAGTGCAAAGAGTGTGATCCTCATCCAAATAATATCATCCAAGTTACTTCATCCAAATGATATCATCCAAGTTACTACATGTCTAGGAAAAGTTAAGGGGCAGCTGAGGAAGTAGTTGTAACCCTTATTCCATTACAGTGATATTTGACGCACCTAGATTTTTTTTTTTTTTTTTTTTTTTCTGAGACAGTTTCACTCTTGTTGCCCAGGCTGGAGTGCAATGACACAATCTCGGCTCACCACAACCTCTGCCTCCCAGGTTCAAGTGATTCTCCTGCCTCAGCCTCCTGAGTAGCTGGGACTACAGGCATGCGCCACCTCGCCTCGCTGATTTTGTATTTTGTTTTTTAGTAGAGACAGGAGTTTCTCCATGTTGGTCAGGCTGGTCTCGAACTCCGACCTCTGGTGATCCGCCTGCCTCGGCCTCCCAAAGTGCTGGGATTACAGGCGTGAGCCACTGTGCCCAGCCAACATATCTAGATTTTAAGGTTATTTAAGCAGGGCTATATCTTCTATTTATTTTAGCATTTCTATTGTCTATTATTTCCTACCCTCCTTCCCCGCTTCACCCTTCTACCATGGCAGCATATAGAATGACCAGTTCTCTGCACATAGTAAGCACTCTTTACATGTTTGATCAATGATAATGTCACAATGGGTCTATTGTGACATCAACAGGACTGGAATATCATGGTAGCCACCAATTAGCAGCAGAGTATGCCACAACTTCTGGGAGCAGGAAAGACCTCTCCTAGCTTCCTACTGGATATCTTTATTAGCATTTTCGTAGATTCTGTGAAAAAGAAGAAATAAAAGGATATCACCCACATCTTCGAAATGTTTTTCAAAATGAAAAATGAGATAGACGATGACCCCGAATCAGAAAAATACATCAAGGATTCCACCATCATGAGAAGAGAGCCCCAAAATGTCCTTAGTCCTTTGGTGCTCCCTAACCTTGAGATCCCATTCTCAGTAAAGGATATCATCGCTAAGATTGAGCGCGCACAGCTCCATCGAGCAAGAGAGGTAGGTAGTGAATCTGAAGTTTACAAACTGCAATTTTCTTTTCAAACTTTCTGTGACCGAGTACATTTTTGTTTATTTAAGAAATCACTTTCATGATATTTGACTGTATTTAGGGTTGCTTTGACTTCAAATGACAATTTCACCTGACACCGACTGTGGATATAACAAGCTCCAATTTGACATTATATCAGGTTTAATAAAGCCATTTATTAAATCTTTATATCAGGTTTAATAAAGCCATTTAAGAAATAAATCAAGGCAGGCATGGTGGCCCATGCCTGTAATCCCAGCACTTTGGGAGGCCAAGGTGGGCGGATTGCCTGAGGTCAGGAGTTCGAGATCAGCCTGACCAACATGGAGAAACCCGTCTCTACTAAAAATACAAAAAGTTAGCTGAGCGTGATTGCACATGCCTGTAATCCCAGGTGCTCGGGAGGCTGAGGTAGGAGAATCACTTGAACCCAGGAGGCGGAGGTTGTGGTGAGCTGAGAATGCACCATTGCACTCAAGTCTGGGCAACAAGAACGAAATTCTGTCTCAAAAAAAAAAAAAGTTTTCATTTGTTCCCTGTGGAGGTTTTATCAAACAGCTATTAACCAGATAGAATTTAGATTGCTTTGAATTCTAGCTTCTTTTATTTTCCCTGTACACTTCAAGGAGAAATTAGGAGACATTCAAGGACAATAAGAAGAGTGTTTAAATAATGTCAGCTGGGTGCGGTGGCTTATGCCTGCAATCCCAACACTTTGGGAGGCTGAGATGGGAGGATCCCTTGAGGTCAGGAGTTAAGAGACCAGCCTGATCGATATAGACAGACCCAATCTATATTTTTAGAAAAATAAATAAATAACATAGCAATTGAATAGACCCTCAAACAATTAAGGTTATGCTGCGTTTTATTCTCTTGAAGCACAACAAAGTTAGGCCAGGCACAGTGACTCATGCCTGTAATCCCAACTCTTTGGGAGGCCAAGGCAGGAGGATCTCTTGAGTCCAGGAGTTCTAGATCAGCTTGGCCAACATAAGGAGACCTCCTGTCTACTAAAAATAAAAAAATTAGCCAGGCATGGTGGCTCCAGTCTGTAGTCCCAGCTCCTTGGGAGGCTGAGGCCAGAGGATTCCCTGAACCCAGGAGACTGCACTGAGCACCATGCTTGCATTACTGCACCCCACTCAGCATGGGTGACAGAGCGAGACCCTGTCTCAAAAACAAACAAACAAACAAACAAAAATCAGTCATGTTTGATGAAATTGATTAAGGGGGAGTTCTTTCCTATGTTTAAGGAAAGCTAAAGTGGTCACAATGGCTCATGCCTGTAATCCCAGCACTTTAGGAGGTCATAGTGAGAGGCTCACTTGAGGCCAGGAGTTTGAGACCATCCCAGGCAACAAAGCAAGACCCTGTCTCTACAAAAAATTTAAAAATTAGCCAGGAGGTGGTGGTATGCACTTGCAGTCCCAGCTACTCGGGAGGGCAGAGGGAGACTCTATCTCAAAAAAAAAAAAATGGAGTGTTAGCCAGGCACAGTGGCTCACTCCTATAATCCCAGCAATTTGGAGGCCAAGACAGGAGGATTGCTTGGGCCTTGGAGTTCAAGACCAGTCTGGGCAACATAGTGAGACCCCTGTCTCTCTCTCTCCATAGACAGATAGATGATAGATAGATGACTGATTGATAGATAGATAGATAGATAGATAGACAGATAGATTGATCGATTTTTTTTTTTTTTTCTGAGACAGACTCTCATGCTGTTGTTCAGGCTGAGTGCAGTGGCGCGATCTCGGCTCACTGCAACCTCCATCTCCTAGGTTAAAATGATTCTCCTGCCTCGGCCTCCCAAGTAGCTGAGATTACAGGCCTGCACCACCCCACCCAACTTATATATATATATACACATATATATATATACACATATATATATA